GGCAGGCCAGTGAGGAGGGAGTTGCAGTAGTCGAGTCGTGATGATGAGGGAGGGTGGATGAGCTGTTTAGTGGTTTCTGGGGTTAGGAACGTGCGGATTTTGGCGATGTTGCGGAGGTGGAGTCTGCACGAGTTTGTTAAAGATTGGACTTGGGGCTGGAAGGATAGGTTGGAGTCCAGAATGACACCCAGTACTCTGGCCTGCAGGGCGGGTTTGATGGTAGCGTTGTTGGATGTGACGGAGAAATCAATGGGGGGTGGTGTCCAGGCTGGGGGGAAGACAAGAAACTCGGTTTTTGGAGAGGTTCAATTTAAGGAAGTGGAGCGACATCCAGTCTGATATGTCGCTCAGTAGGTGTGTGATTCGGGCTGAGACCAAGGGGGTGAGGTGGGGGGTTGAGAGATAGATTTGTGTGTCGTCGGCATAGAGGTGGTAGTTGAAGCCGTGAGAGTGTATGAGTTTGGCCAAGGGAGGAGGTATAGATGGAGAAGAGAAGGGGCCCGAGGACAGAGCCTTGAGGGACCCCAACAGAGAGGGGGAGTGAGGGGGAGGTGGTAGCATTATAGGTAACGCTGAAAGAGCGTTGTGACAGGTAGGATGAGATCCAGGAGAGAGCAGAATCTCTGAGGCCGAGGGAGTGTAGTTTTTTTGAGGAGGAGGGGGTGGTCGACTGTGTCGAAGGCCGCAGAGAGGTCAAGGAGTAGGAGCACTGAATAGTGTCCATTAGCTTTGGCGGTTAGCAGGTCGTTGGAGAGTTTGAGTAAGGCAGTTTCGGTGGAGTGTAGGGGACGGAAGCCGGACTGTAGGGGATCGAGGAGGTTGTTGTCGTTGAGGTGAGAGCATAGGCGGGTGTAGACTAGGCGCTCGAGGAGTTTAGATGTAAATGGGAGCAGGGAGATGGGTCTGAGGTTGCTCGGGTCATTTGGGGTCCAGGGAGGGCTTTTTAAGTATGGGGGTGATGTGTGCATGTTTCAGAGGGGAGGGGAAAGTGCCTGAGGAGAGGGAGAGATTGAAGATGTGGGTGAGGGGAGCGTAGGATGGAGGAGGAGGAAGGTCGTAGGAGTTGTGAGGGGATAGGGTCGAGGGGGGGGCAGGTGGTGAGGCGGGCATCAGAGAGGGTCTTGGAGACTTCCTCGATGGTAGTAAGGTCAAAGGTGTGGAGTGTTGGGGGAGCTTCAGTATGAGGAATGTAGGGTGGGGTGGAAGAGGAGGTCAGAGCAGTGGTGGGGCCGTGGGAGAGGGGTGATGAGGGGGTAGCTGAGTGAGGGTGAAGGGGGTTGGAGGGAGTTTGAGCAGCGACGAAGTCCCTGCGGGTTATGTCGAGGGGGAGGGGGGATAAGGGGGTAGCTGTGTGAGAGGGGACAGGTTGAGAGGGCGTGTGAGTTGCGGCAATGTCCTTGCGAATTGTGTCAATTTTGTTTTTGAAGTGATTGGCAATCTCAAGGGCAGTGAGTGAGGTGCTGGGTGGAGGTGGGGGTGGAGAGAGTAGAGAGTTGAAGGCAGAGAAGAGTCGGCGAGGATTGGAGGAGAGGGCCTTGATGAGGGTCAAGAAGTAGGCCTGTTTGGCAGCATGGAGGGAGGAGGTGTAGGTGCGGAAGGCAGATTTGTAGCGGGTGAAGGCTTGTTTGGATTTGGTTTTGCGCCATAGTCGCTCTAGGGCACGACTTTGTCGTTTGAGGGTTTTGGTGTGATCAGTCTGCCAGGGCTGGAGCGGTCGGGGTCTGGTGTTGCGTGTGGTTAAAGGCGCTAGTGAGTCAAGGGCTGTTGAGAGCGCATTGTTGTAGGCGGTCAAAGCCAACTCGGGGCAGGACAGGGGGAGGATGCGGTCGTGGAGTTGATCAGCTGCAGAGTGGAGGGAGGCAGGGTTAAGGTTGCGAAGGTTACGGCTGGTAGTAGTGTGACATTTGGAGGGGTAGGCGTTGGAGGACGAGGAGATAGAGAAGGTGATCAGGTTGTGGTCAGAGAGAGGGAAGGGGGTATTAGTGAGGTTGTGGGGAGCGCATCGGTTGGAGAAGACCAGATCAAGGATATTTCCGTCGGAGTGGGTGGTGGATTGTATGCACTGTGCAAGTGCAAAGGAGGAGGTTAGGTGGAGGAGACGGGCTGTGTCCGGGTTGTCGAGGTTGACAGGGATGTTAAAATCCCCAAGAATTATGGTGGGTAGCTCAGAGGAGAGGAAGAAGGGTAGCCAGGAGGAGAAGTCATCCAGGAAGCGGGGTATGGATCCAGGAGGCCGGTATATCACAGCAATCTTCAGGGGGGTTGGGGAGAATAGTCGGACGCAGTGGGCCTCGAAGGAGGAGAAGGATAGGGAGGGGGGGGGTTTGGGAGGACTCGAAGGTGCTCTGCGGTGACAGGAGCAGACCAACCCCACCACCTTTACGACCGTTAGGCCTGGGTGAGTGGGTCCAGGTGAGACCTCCATAGGAGAGTGCAGCAGGGGGAGGTAGAGTCAGTGGGCTGGATCCAGGTTTCCGTGATCGCTAGGAGGTTGAGGGAGCGGGAAACAAAGAGGTCGTGGATGGCAGTAAGCTTGTTGCACACCGAACGGGCGTTCAGGAGTGCACATGAAAACGGGGGGGAGATTTTAGGGAGCAGGGAGACAGATACTAAGTTGCGGGGGGTTGCAGTAGGACGTGGAAGTGGGAGGGTGTTGAGCGGGTGAGGGAGGTGGAGGGCCAGGATTTGGGGAGATGTCCCCCGCGGCTAGGAGGAGGAGAAGGGTGAGAAAGGTGGCATGGGAGCGGGATGTGCAGGAGCATGAGAAACTCCTAGTGGAGGTGTTGGGGTCAGTGGGAGAGTGGAGTAATAGGAGGAGGTGGTGGGTGCCATAGAGGGGTGAGGGAAGCAGTGAGGACACGATATACAAATGTTTGGGAGGGGCAGAGGGATATAGTGAATGGAATTTGGAAACGGAGGAGAGGAAAATGAGAAGGAGGAGTGGAAGAGACATTGTGGGGAGGTGAAGAGAGCAGTAGTAGGGAGATGATGATAGCAGTGAGGGGGAGATGTACAGGTTGTGGGTGGAGCAGAGGGGTAGAGAAATGAGATTTGGGAACAGAGGGTAGTAATATGATGAGAAGAGGGGCGTATTATATAAAGGCACATAGAGTGGGTCACAGGCATGTAAGAGGTTTCCCAGGGTGTTTGCTTGCAGTCTTCCAGCATGCAGTAGAGCTTCTTACTGTTGTTGTGTCTTCCTGCTGCTTGGGTTCTCCTGCTTTAGTTCAACTGCTGCGTTTAACTGCTTCTTCTATGCACTCGTTCGAAGTCGCACTCAATCTGAAGCAGCACCCCATCAGAGACTGTGCCCCCCATCAGAGATCTCCCCCATGAGCTGATCTAAATTTATAGGGAGATGCTCAAATGAGCATTCAACTCCACCCCAATTAGAAGCTGATAAAGATCACATGAGGAGTGGGGGATGATTCTCTCAGGAAACAGGCACCAGTCGTAAAACGGGTGCAGCTAAAGGTGAGTGCTGGTCAACATATACAAAAATATAAATACACCATTTGTTCTGAATATAGCAAGAGTCAATGCGTTTTGGAGTTTGATCTCCATGTATAATACATAAGGGGGGATATGATCTCCATGTATAATACATAAGGGGGGATATATAAAATTGGAGCATCTCCCTATAAATTTAGATCAGCTCATGGGGGAGATCTCTGATGGGGGGCACAGTCTCTGATGGGGTGCTGCTTCAGATTGAGTGCGGCTTCGAACGAGTGCATAGAAGAAGCAGTTAAACGCAGCAATCTAATTATGCCTCTCTACTTTCACAGGTAAATGCTCCTTTCTCCTACCACCAGTCATAAAATGGGTGCAGCTAAAGGTGAGTGCTGGTCAACATATACAAAAATATAAATACACCATTTGTTCTGAATATAGCAAGAGTCAATGCGTTTTGGAGTTAAGAGTGGAGGTAGGAGAAAGGAGCATTTACCCAGGAGGAAGGCAGCAGGAGTCAATGCGTTTTGGAGTTAAGAGTGGAGGTAGGAGAAAGGAGCATTTACCCAGGAGGAGGGCAGCAGGAGTCAATGCGTTTTGGAGTTAAGAGTGGAGGTAGGAGAAAGGAGCATTTACCCAGGAGGAAGCCCCCATTAACAACAAAGGGCTCCCAGATACTGGCTCTTCTTGCAATGTAAATGCGTAAGGGGGTACAAAATACTCATCCATAAAAATGTAATCATTAAAGCAGTAGAAAACCACCCAAAAACAAAATAATGTCCCCCCCTACAGGTTTAGGTCATAATGTACTAGTATGCATCGCGTATGTAAATCCATTCAATGTCTTCATGACATCACTGACCAGTTATTGTGCTATCTATATGGGTTCAATGACATCACCCAGGAAACACTGCCCTTTTAGCTGTGATTTAGCATGAGTAAGTGAGGGGATTGGGAGTTGGTGGGATTTTTTTTTTCAGTATCATTCTTCAGGTCTGACGTGGATCTGCATTGATAGACAAGGTGACTGATGATGAATTTACATTGTGGCATTTTTTTTAAGGACATGTCAAAAAGTGACAGTCTGCATGCTCTGATCAGGATCTGGTATGAAGGCTGAGTTCACAATTTTTTCCTTGTTTTTGAGTAGTTTTAACCCCTTAAAATTCACACCAAAGTTGGAGGGTATGGTATTTGGTAGAACCCTATGCTTTTTTTTTATGGGGGGGGGGAGGGGGCATGCCACACTGTCAGCATAAATAAAGTTCTGCTATTTATTTTTTGCTATAGTAGATTGTATGGTACATGGTACAGAGGTTCTATTTCACAGGAAAGTTCAGGTATCCCTCAGACATGTTATTTAACCACCTCCCGCCCACCATATAGTAATATGACACAGACGCAAGGTGGTTCTCTCGTTCATATGGCGTCCTCCCATTCTAACCACACATGCGCGGCTCCCGTAGCGTGCAGCGCGGCGATCGTCCCTTGGACACAGCAGATCACCGATCCATGGGAAGAGCCAAAGATGTCGGCTCGGTCATGTGATCAGCTGTGTCCAATCACAGCTGATCACATGTAAACAGAGAAATGGCAGTTATCGGCATTTCTCTCCTCTCGAGCTGTCACGCTGACAGCTCATGGGAAGAGGAGAGCCGGTAATCAGCATTCCGCGGAGGGGACATGTACACTGATCATCAGAGCACTAATAATCAGTGTGCCCTGATGATCAGTGTAGCCCCAGCAGTGCCACCTGTCAGTGTCCATCAGTGTCAGCTGTCAGTGCTCATCAGTGCCACATGCCAGTGCCCATCAGTGCCACATCAATGCCACATATCAGTGCTTACCAGTGCACATCAATGCAACATATCAGTGCCCATCTGAGCTGCCTTTTTAGTGTCACCCATCAGTGCCAGTCAGTGCCACCTATCAATGCCAATCAATGCCATCTATCAGTGCTGCCAATCAGTGCCGCCTATCACTGCCAGTCAGTGCCGCCTATCAGTGTGCATCAGTGGCGCCTAACAGTGCACACCAGTGGCACCTAACAGTGCCAGTCAGTGCCACCTATCAGTGCCGCCTATCAGTGCCATATATCAGTGCTGCCTTTCAGTGCCCATCAATGATGCCTGTCAATGCCCATCAGTGCCACCTACCAGTGCCTCCTCATCAGTGCCCATCAGTGCCACCTATCAGTGTCCATCAGTGCAGCCTATCAGTGCCCATCACTGCAGCTTCATTAGCGCACATCAGTAAAGGAGAAAAATCACTTATTTACAAAATTTTATAACAAAAACTAAGAAAAAACTTTTTTTTTTCAAAATTTTCAGTTGTTTTTGGTTTGTTTAAGAAAAAAGAAAAAATCCAGAGGTGATTAAATACCACCAAAATAAAGCTCTATCTGTCAAAAAAAAAATGATAAAAATTTCATATGGTTACAGTGTTGTATGACCACGCAATTGTCATTCAAAGTGCAACAGCGCTGAAAGCTGGAAATTGGCCTGGGCAGGAAGGGGGTATAAGTGCCCTGTAGGCTTGTGGTTAAAGGGATTTTATATCTCGAATGTTTCACTTAAAGCATTATTAAAATTGCTTCTTCCTGACAAACTGAACTTATAGAAGTTTTTTTTTTGCTTTAACACGTTTAGCAGTGTGGTACCCAGCTCCTCATGCCATTTGTTTGACAATACTTTGGCCATCATGACCATTATTTTTTTTTTGTAACATTGAGCTCACATTGACTTCAATAGGCTTTGAATTTGTCACCAAAACTTTAGTAAAGTTTACCAAACCCTTCTTGAATCGAATCCAGGTTTGTGGCAAGGCTAGTGAGTTATTGATGAGGAAGCTGCCAGGTTAAGCTGGTCATGTGGAGAACTCAAAGCTTAAAGACATAGTTCATTTTTATAAATAAAACTGCCTTTGCAGGTAAGGGAGCCTGTGGATTAAAACAAATTGTGGAGCTTTGACCACAATTTAATTATGCCTTTGTGATAGGTGTAGGGTATTTACATAACTATGAAGCCTGACTGAAAAATGCCCAGAGATAACATTCTGCCTTCTTTCTAGGATGTTGTTTTTACTGTTGAGTAGCTTTTACTGTTCACTCCCACCATCACAGGAGCAAGTTTTTTTCTCTTATTCAAACCCCCCTCTAGCCTGACACAGTAGCTCTAAACTCAGCCTTTGATAGCTCCTTCTTGTGATGGTGGGGCGATCAGTAACAGCTAGGTGTCTCTTAGCAATGTCCTGGGCAGATAGGCAGAATGGGATGATGCAATCTGAGTTTTTCAGCCAGGCTTCAAGAAATAAATAGTAGTAAATGGACTACACTTATAGCAAGGCAATTCATTATTCAACTTTGATCAAAGGTGCACAGACCCCTGTATACAGTTTTTGTTTTGTTTTTTTGTAAAGGTGCACTATGCCTTTAAATACAACCTGGACGCAGGATTCAGCATCCTTCCCAGGCACAAAGGAATCAATTAAAAGCAACAAAGTAATTTTAGCAACACGGTAATGTCCATGTTGGTGGAAATGACAAGCTCATTTAAGTTCCAATGAGTTTTCTTTTCTGCTGTTGTATAATATTTTTCCTGTGGTCCCAGAAAAGTAGCTTGATAAAAGGAATCACATACATTTACCAGCCAAAATTCTTACTTTCAAGCACTGGAATCCACTTGAGACCATTACAGAGGAAGAGACCTTTCAGAGATGTATCCATCCAGAACTGGGATATTTCACTGCTGGAACAGGGAGGCTGAGGGCCTAACGTTACTTTCATATCAGCTTCTGGAAGCAATAAAAAAGCACATTAATGGAATGTTAAAGCTAAAGATGACACTATGCCTGCAAAAATAGAGATGTTAGATTTCATGAAGAGGCTGAATTTAAAAGCTAGAACAAAATCGGAGATGCTGCTTGTTGTAACCAGTTCTTATTTCTTTTCAAAGGTGGAATACAATTGGTTGATGCACGCAATAGGTACAATTTTGATTTAATATTTATAAATCAACTCTTTAAATTATATTCTGACTACTTTCATGGTAAAATTATGAATTTATCTCTAACCTTAAATGTATGTTCTTTCCTTAATAATGCATCACCAGGGGCTTTTTTAATAACTGCAGTTGTGTAAATATTATGAGATATGGGATAGCTGCCAATGTTCTTCTTCCTAATTACTATTCATTTGTATTTTACCTAACTAATTCCTGTATATATTACCACTAACCATAAGGGTACATTAGCTGTAGTCCATTGTCATCACCAGTCCTAAGTGGCGCAGCTCTTTCAGCACTCCTGGAATGGACAGCTCTGATATCCTCGGTTTGGCATTAGGGCATATCGTAGATGTTGCATCAGACCCTGGCAGAAGGACAAGCTGTCTCAACAAGCCCTGGAAATAAAAATACAGTCCCTACATCATCATGTTCTTTAAAAGTACAGTTATATTCACTAGCTGGGAATACATTCAAACTTCACAAAGAGTCTTCACAAAGTTTAAAAATAGACGTATAATGCAATAGAACTGCACAGCCTTCCTGGCTTGCCACCTAATTTGGATCTGAAACTATAGATCTGATTCAATCTTTGACCCTGTTTTATGTTCAATGAACCTTTGTGGTAATCTGAAGGTATTTTAAAATTACATCTTCACAGGGCTTAAAAGCTGAGTCTGCAGGTAGCATTTAACTAGACTAGATAAAACCATAAAAATTCCTTCCAAAGTAGTATCTGTAAAAACGAAAGAAAGTCACATTTAGATATGAATATTGTTTGTTTTTTCTGGACAACTCAAATATGAACACAATTGCTTAAATATTTCTATGAAATATTACCAAGGCACTATACAAGGAAAAGCTTTCCAAATGGGGACATAGACATCAATAAATACATAGTTTTAGATTACAATAAAAACCTAAAAAAAGGGTTCTAACCCTCCTTCATTCAATCCTACATTTTTAAAAATGATTTGGCTGAAGTTTGGCTAATGTTGTACATTGAATGTTCTTTCATAATGGTTACCTAGATAAGAAAAAAAATAAAGAGCTAGGCGCCTTCATTTGCCTTCTGATATATGATAGAAATATAATTCCCTAAATATTGCACATTACTTAAAAAATGATAATCTAACAGCCCTGATAAAGGGGTACCATCAGCAAGCCCAAAAATGTTCATGTCATCACCTGGGATGGATAGCAATGGCATACAATATATTGGCAAATGTTTGTGGACACATGATCATTTCACAAGCTTGTTGAGCATCCTAAAAAAAATATGTAGTTGGCTCCTTCAATCTATAATAGTCTCCTCTCTCTGGGAATGGCTATTCAGCCAAAAGAGCATTTGAGAGGTCAGGTACTGATATTAGTTGAGAAGGCTCATCTCACAATCAGCAATCCATTTCCTTCAAAAGGTGTTCAACAGTGCTGAAGTCAGGGCCTGGTTTTGTGTACAAGAGCACAGTCATGCTGGGACAGAAAATGTCCTTTACTAAGCTGTTGCCATAAGGTTGGAAGTACAGAGTTCTCTAAAATGTCTTGGTATGCTGTAACATTAACATTACCAGTACCCATCACTGGAAACACTTGAACTTAATTTTAGGAGGGTTATCCACATACTTTTCGGCATAGATATATATTACTGTAGAGGTGATGGTAAGGTGACCACAAACTTTTGCAAACATAGTGCAGTAAAGCACTAGGAACGTGTGCACTTTGCTACTATAAAATCTGAAGCTTTAAGTGACCACCAAAACATCCTGGAGGGTCATCTAAAATATCCAGTTGCATTTTACATTTTTGTTGCTGATGGGTTTAGTGTGTATTACAGAATTACACCTCTTTAACTTTGTGGCCCATAGTTCTACCAACAACCTTTATTTACCCTAACTTGCCAAATTTAGATCAATACCTACAGAGAAAAATCCTTTTCGTCGTCTTCTGTTTCCAACATAAATCCATGATTTGGTGGTGTTTAATGATGCTGGAAATGGTTTTTTCGAGAACACTGCACAGAAGCAAAAATAATGGGCTTTAATTTTATCCTTTTAGTCATTTTTATACATTTAAATGTATTATGAAAGTTTCTTTACACTGTTACACAGCAGTGTAAACATTACTAAAACTAAACTTCATAATCTAACATATACAACATAGGATTACATAAGAGATGGGTTGCCCTGTAATAGAAACAAATGAACCATACTGAAACAAAGGTTGCCTATGAACTGTATATGTACTTTGTGTCCTACGCTCAACAATCTTCCTGAGATAGCTTAAATTGTAATTGGGACACCTACTGACAAGTTTCTGAACTCATAAAAAAAGGGGACTTGAAATATTTCAGGCAAATTCAACTGTGCAAAAAAATTTTTCCAATTTACATAGTTACTATATTTTTACTGAAACACTAAATTTGCATGGACCCTTGAAAAAGAAAACATTTACAAACCTGAGCAAAGTGTAAGTCAGGCTCAAGATCAACGATTACAGGAAAGGTTAAAATTTGCATTTAAAGTGCCTAATTCTCTTGATTTACATATCGTCTGAAGATTTTTAATGTAAAGATATCATTGTGCCCCCCCCCCCCCAACCACAGGTATGTATGGAATACTGTATATGTTGAATTGTCAGGGCCATCAGGGGCCTGCTAGTCAGGTTTTATGAAGAGAGTAAACTTCTAGAATAGGTACAAGTTAAACTGCATACCAAAAATTGGGTTAGTAACTAGAAACAACAAAAACAAAAATGTTATAAATATTATGTTGCCATCTGATGTAAAAAACACTGGTGTGTTAGGGACAGAACCACAGAAAGTCTAATCTTTAGCAGGTCCTCTAATATCAATGGTGGCATTAAACTGCCAAGAATTCCCTGACTGTGACCCTTAGGTTAGCTTTACTATCTAAGACAAGCTCATAACTAAGGGTGAATAAATACAGTAGCTACGTA